TACCTGGGGGTGGCCAGCAGCCAAATGGTGAGGGCATGAGCAGGGAAGACACCGGAAGGTCACCAAGAATGCAGGTGGAGGGTTGGAGGGGCAGAGAGGAAATCTTTGGGTATTACAAGTACTGAAAAGTTAGCTATGCTTTTTTGTTGTTGTTGTTTGTGCTAACAGAAGAACGATGGCATTTCTCAGGCTTTTCAATGGCAACTCGAGTGCAGAGTGGAGTGATCAGAGGGAGGGTGCTACTGCAGGCAAGGACCAGGAAGTGTCTTATGTGGCCACTTTAGGACTGGTATGGAAAACAACTACATAACTACATGTTCAACTGGCAAAATAATTTGTTCTCAGTAATTGAGGAAAACAGTCCTTTAAATAAACATTAAAGCAGGTGTTAGATAAAAAACAGATTGCAAGACATTTCCTGCAGGTTTCAGGACTCTACAGCAATGGACATTGCATGTGATACAAATTAAATGAGATGAAAAACCCAATGAAGTTCTGCTGTTCATTTCACTGCCGGATCCACCATTGACTTGTGTTACTGTTACACTACTGTACAATAGTAATTTGGTAGCATCTTTGTTTTTTCCACCCTACTGCAGAATTTAATCTCCCTGGAGACTTATGGCCACTGGCATTCCTACTTCCCTTCATTCCAACACACCATCTTAACACCTGTAGGAAATGTTCCTGAGGAGGGACTTTTTACAAGGGCAGTAGCAACAGGACAAGGGGTAATGGCTTTAACTTCAAAGAGGGTAAATTTAGGTTAGACATCAGGAATAAATTATTTTCTATGAGGGTGGTGAGACACCAGAACATGTTGCTCAGCAAAGTTCTGGACACCCTCTTATAGAAGTGTTGAAAGGCACTTTGAGCAATCTGGCCTGGTAGGAGGTGTTCCTGCTCATGCAGGGGGATTGGAATGGAATGATCTTAAAGGTCCCTCCCAACTCAAACCATTCTATGATTCTCCAAAATAATTTTTTACAAACCCAAAGCCAAAAGATGCTAGCAAACCCAAAGTGAATAGAGGTTGCTTCACACAACATAATTAAAAAAAGGACTTTTTTAAAAAGCAAAGATATCTACTTGCATAGTTAACGAATTTAAACTCTTTAGCCAGGAGCATCATGATTTTGAGATGTTTTAGAACTACATCTATTTTATGAAAGTTATGTACTCTAGGTGATCCTGCTCTGTCAGGGGCTTTGGACTAGATGATCTTTCGAAGTCTCTTCCAACCCCTAACATTATTCGATTCTGTAATGGTATTCCTACAGAAAGGTTCCTGATGTTTTTTCAGTTATACTTCACTAATTTCATATCCAGTAAAAACCACAAACATTGTTCTTAAAATTTAAAAAAAGGGGGAAATATTAGTAAAATAAGCAATCTGTTAACCTGAAGAAATTAACAGACTGCTTTCTTACATTTCCCTCAAAATTAATTCTCAGTATTTAAATATGTAGTTGATCTAAATCTTATACTTGCAAAACAAATTTAACTGCCTGTGCAATCTATTATATATTTGCCACGTTTCAAATTTTGACATACACAGTTGCATTATGTAAAAAGTGTTATGTGGCAGAAATATTTCTAAAAAACCCAAACAAAATTAATTCTGTTCCTAGCATTGGATTAATTAAAAAGCAACAAACCCCAACCCCCCTATCCACTCTCTGGAAATGGCCTGTTGCTGTGGAAACCAGTGTATACATTATCATTGAGGGGTGCTAACAGAACACCCCTGCCCAATGTGAGATCCCAAATTAGGAAAAAGGGAGAGCAACATTTTTATAATGCAGTTACCAAGTTGCTTCTGAAAAAAGGAAGAATCTGCAGGAACATGATAGATTAAGCTCTGAAATAAATCTAACTTTGTGGTATGCTCATTTATATATATGGATCTCATTTTGATCAGGTAAGACTCCTCCTTGTGAATTTAATTTCTGTCTCAGCCAGCCTTAGATCCAGCTGTGTTCTCACTGTTGGGGTCTCCAGTCACTGCAATACAAATAAAGTAACAAGAAGTTTCAGGATTCATTTTAGGTGAATGTTTTTTATTGGCAATATGTTCCTTTTGTTAAAAAGAGAATTCAGTTTCTGCCCTTTACCACTAGCAATTGAAAAAAAAATAATAAAAAACCCCCCAAATCAGTAGCAATTCTGCCTCTGTTTTCAGAGAGCATTTAATTGAGATCCTTCTGTTTAAGCATGCCAGTTTCTGGCCAGTTCTTCTTACCATCTTTAACGAGCAATAGCTTATAACTGGCAAGCTTTTAGACTCTCAAACTGGGTTTTGAGAGGTGTTCATAGCCTCAAGTATTCACTTTTGCAAATGCAAGTCTTTCGCCCTCTGCCTTGTTAAAGCTTGTTCACAACTTAAAGTACATGCACCTTGTATCTGAATACTCCAAGAATCAACATTTCATATACAGGAACAACTGAAATGTATTGCAAGATTTACACTGGACAGATTTTCCAGTGAAAGGCAGGAAAGCAATGAGGAGAAATCCTGCTCATGTAATGGTATGAGCTCTTTCTTAAAGCACATTACTTTAAATCAAGAACACAGCCACATCTATCTTCTTGAATATCTCCGGGCTACACAGATGTGCAGCAGCAACTCCAGTTCAGAGCTTCCAGACAGCTGGAGAAGATGCTGATCCCCTCTGCATCTTGAGATTAAGAAAAAAACCTATATAGCTAGATTTTCTTTTGAGCACAAATGCTAGGTGTATGCTTTTATTTTGCCCTGACTCACAGGGAAAGCATTAAAAAATTTCTTCCTCCATGGCTTATGCATCCAAAAGTTATCCCTCCTAATTATAACTCCTCTTAAAACCAAAATAACCCCCCTCAGCCTTCCCTGGATTAAAAAAACCCACAAACCCTAATCTAACCTACCAGAAATAAAATACTTTGAAACATAGTAGGATAGATTTGAAAGTGTAGTTGCTATGCTTTTAATTCCCACAAAAGCAACCAGCAGAAGTGCTAAGTATCATAGAATAATAGAATCTTAGGGGCTGGAAGGGACCTCGAGAGATCATCCAGTCCAACCCCCCTGCCAGAGCAGGGTCACCTAGAGTACATCACACAGGAACTCATCCAGGTGGGTTTTGAATGTCTCCAGTGAGGGAGACTCCACAACCTCCCTGGGCAGCCTGTTCCAGTGCTCTGTCACTCTTACAGTAAAAAAATGTTTTTGGATATTCACCTTGAACCTCCTATGCTCCAATTTACACCCATTACCCCTTGTCCTATCACTGGTCATCACAGAGAAAAGCCTAACTCCGTCCCCCTGACACCCCTATAACTCAATTCTCCTCACTATCCAGTGAAATAAAATTAAGACCTTCATCAGTCTGATCAGACACCTGGGGAATCTGAGATCCAGATCACTCATGTACAACAGCCATTTCCACAGATGAGTAACAATATTTTTCTCTCACCTTACAATTGCAGTTACCTTAGTACTGCATTAGTAAGGTTTACAGACTTGCACATGGAGATTAACCAATTTTCTATAACTATAATTAGGGATTAGCTAGTGAACATTTACTTACCAGCCCACTTGTGTATGCAAGCAATGACACTACTGATTTTTTTCCTCTTCTGAACCACAAAATATCCAGACACTAGGCAAGCTCAAATTCCCAATGCATACTCCTGAGCTCTTCCAAACTTTTCAGAGTGTCCTTCCAGAAATGCATTACAGAAAAATAAAATTAACCAACCTGCCCTATGTAGTCCAGATACCACTACAGGGAGGGCAATCAGTAAACCTAGTCTGAACTTCAGCTTACTTCTCAGTTTGATTTTAAAATAAAATCTGAACCTTTCTTCATGTATAGTCATTCCTTCAGCTCAGCTATATAAATTACTCCCTGCTTTCACCTGAAATGATAAAATCAGAAAGCATGAAGACTAGTTTTGAGGGGGGAACAGTGGAGCTTATCCCCCATCCCCGACTTTTTCAGGGCAACTTGGCAAATTTCGAATACATAAATACAGCTCCACGGTCTTTTTGACAAAGATTAACTAAGATTTCTTGGTAAGGTAGACTGATGGAAGTTTAAAAAAAGCTGTTCTACTTTAAAATGTATCATTATTGGCATTTCAAAATTAAAACACTACCATAGTCTCATGCAACTTTATAAAAAAAACTATAACAAGGTAATGTAGTATTACAAATTTATTTAGTTTCTTCAAAGTAATTTTTCAGCATTGAAAATTTCACACGTATAAAAAAACTTCAACTTCTATGCATTAAAACCAAAGAGTGGATTTTTTGTTTTAAATGTAAAGGAGTTCCTGGGCTTTTTTTTTTTTTTTTTTAAACATCTCTACAATTCTCACAAACCAAATTTGTTAATTCTAAAGCTGATAAAAATAAGTGATGCACCAGCACATTTTTTTCTTTAACATGTGAAATTCATCTCTTTGGGAAACTTTTTTTTTTTTTTTTTAAATTGTATCATGAAAGATACAGACCTGAAAAAGGATAAACAATCATACACAATGCATAAACATTACACAGAGTAATCCATACATTTTATAAAGAGATCTGGAAAAGTACCTAAAATAGTGATATTTAGTATAAAATTTCAGTAATAAAATATTGCTCATAATAAATAAGAAAACATGAGTTTCATTAATACTGTTCTCTCATTAAAGCTCTTCTGGATGTAACAAGATCAGACCCAATAAAAGCTCAAATTGTTGTTTTTCCTCTGTATGAAGGAGGCAGGTTTACAGCATTCAGGTCATTCTTTGTTAAAAACAATTTTATTATTAAACCACATAGTTCATTCACTCATGCGTAGTTATGCAAAAAAAAAATAATCCCAAACCTTATTACAGTAGATTTTAATACCTAAAATATTTGCCTTTTTTCTTTAAACCCAAAGTGGAATAGACTTTTCACAGATTATGAATGCAAAGAGAAAGCTGCCCAAGTTTCCTTAAAAGCATCTAAATATCTGTACACCTGTACTTCTTGGTTACCAAGGCTGTTACAAAACGTTAGCTCTATATAGAGGGACAGAAGTTGTATTCCCTTTATATGGGGACATTTGATTTCATCCCTGCTCGTCCCATCTGTAGACATGGCAGTTTGGAGCAGTTCTTCAGCAGCTGCTCAATAGCGATATGACGGACATTGAGCTCTGAGGCCAAAGAGTCCTTTTCTTGGAGTTGTTGTGTCAGCTCTTCAAACACATCTGCAAGAACATTATTAGGTTAATACACTTGGTCCCCATACTTTCACAGAGTTAAGAAGCAGTGCTGAACATTTTCATTATATTGGATATTAGGAATAATTTCATCACCAAAAGGGTTGTCAAACACTGGAACAGGCTGCCCAGGGCAACAATGGAGTCACCATCCCTGGAGGTATTTAAAGGACATACAGATGTGGTGCGTAGGGACATGGTTTAGTGGTGGACTAGGCAGTGCTAGGTTAATGCTTGGATTTTCCAACCCAAATGATTTTATGATTCCAGTAAAAAAACTTAAAATACCGTATTCTTGAAGTGACACCTTGCAACACTCTAGGCAATTACATAATAATACCACCCAAAAGTTTCTCGTTTTACATGGCAACATGATATATAGAGATTTACATTTTGAATTGAACTGACAGGAAAGCCATCACATTTTTTTTTCTTTTTTCAAAGAAACAAGATTTCTTTATTACAAAGCAACACAAACCCAAAACAAATTGTGTTGAAAAATTCTTACCCTGGATTTGCTTGAGCAGTTTTTCTTTAAGTTGCTTTAACTGTCCAGGAGTCATCATAGTCACTGTAACAAGAAAATCTGTTATTACTACTACTAAAGTCACAGAAGCATTCCTAAGTAGACTCCTACTTTCTCAAATGGTAGTAATTCGCATCCTAATAATGAACAGATGTGTTGCAATAAGTCAAGAGGCGACGTTATTTATCACTCATTTGTGACAAGTTTGTAAATGTTCTCTTTTGTGTTGACATATACAAGGATTTACTCCATAGGAAAGCCACCTCTTTCCATGTGAAAAAGCTGGAAACTCAAGCCATCTAAACAATAGTGTCCAGAACCAGAACTGCTTGTAAATTCCTTGACACCTTAATATACTTTCCCTTCCTCTGACTGTGTGGTTTCCATGTAACCCTGCAAGTACGTCTGTTTAATTGTGGGCAAGTTGACAATTCTGAGCTAAGTCTTGCTATGTTTGCAAGCCTACAAGGAAACAGCTTCTGGACAGAATTTTCAGCACACAGCTACCTCTTTTGACTATCAAGTTTTGTGCTTTGTGCATACAATAATATAGAAAGTTTCCACTGAGTACCTCAGTGACAAATGCTGAAGAAAAATCTTGGTTTACTACAAAGACCAGTGTATAAACGTAGGTTTACTTCTCACTTTCTTGTGCTATGTTCCTAGTGCAAGCTAACAGATCCTCTGCATCATCCAAAAGCCCTGCTGTATCTCAGGTTATGTGTACATCCATCATCCTCAGAGAAATACATATTAAACCTCAGAGGAGGGAAATGTGAAGGTTTTCTGTGCTGCTCTTGATAAAGAGCAGAAAGTAGGGAAGCACTGCCCTGCTTCCTGGAAACCCCTCAGGCCAGCAGCGGTGAACACATGTTGGTGGGGACTGGTTATTGCCATGCCTGCTGCTGAGATGCCCTTGGCAGCACAGTTAAGTGTGACAATCCTGATCACCACATGGGAATACAAGGCATTGAAACAAGCTTTAAGACCCTGTAATTTTTAACCATTGTTTTAAAACAATGCTGCAGTTTAGCAAAGCTCTCACTGCATACTTGAGAAAAAAACTATGCTGCAACCACACAGCTTTTGTTCAGAGATTTCTCAGTACAGGAAGTTTCTATATTGCAAATTTAAAGTGTAAGTTCTGAAAATAATAGTTTTTTCCCTCCCCAGAGGACTGCTAGATTAACCTAAGCCATCTTTTCAAGCTTTCTCACATCTTGCAGTTGTTGGATATTAAACTTTCTGTCAGTATTGCCAAACCAAAGAAGTTGGCAATGACTCAGACAACCTACTTGTTACTTGAGACATAAGGCCACTTAAGAGTGAAACAAATGAACATTTCTCCTCCAACAGCCACATGCAGTGATGCTCCTTCCTATTTTCTGCTATCAATACAACTGAAGATTCCTTTCTCACATCTTACCACCCTTTAAGCACCATGAAAACCCTGACTGGATTTAATGCAGTAACTGACAACTTTATAAAAATCTGGGGTTTTTTCCCCCTTTTATACCCACTGGTAGGATGTTACTTCCCATTTCTTAATTATTTTCATGAGTGTTTCATCAACTGTAACAGATAGGCAGGTTCACATACTATGTGAGTGTGTGTGTATGAGGACAGGACTGTTTCATGTCACATAATTCTGATATAGAAGGGAAAGGAAGAAGGAACAGAACACCAAATTTAAATGTTAAAACATTAGTCGATCCATAGCTGAGGTAAATTATAAAGAAATATTGACCAAGCTATTTACAGTCACATTAACAATAGTTCTGGGGTTTTTTTTAGTAGACTATCTCCTGATGGTGGGGGTACTGCAATAAGGTACCTAATTCTGGCACAGAAAGTCTGACTAGATTTTTCTCTAAAACACAAACTTTATCTAACCACAGTCTCTATACATCAATGTCTTTTAAAGCTAAATACTGCAAAATGATTAAACAAATACTTACAATACAAAGAAAAAATGCCTCAAAAGTGTGTTATGCAAGTTAAGCGGAAGAAAAAGCCCCTGTTACTATCCTCAGTAATTGAGGAAAACAGCTTAATGTTCCCCTGTCCCGAAATCAGAGATCAGAGAGAGAAATTCCAAGTCACTAACTTGAGTTAGGTAACCCCATAAACCAGGCCAAGCCTTCCTAATTCCCCTGTTAACTGCTGTCCTGATTTATATAATCCCAATTTATGACTCCAAAGGACAGGTGGTCAAACAGCACATATCAGTTTTGATTTATGGTTTTAAGACTACTAATTTACTACAAATGCAATGTGAAGCATCAGACAGCGGTTAAATAAAATTCTTCTAAAAGAATGAGAAATTACTGAACTTTGCAAGGACAGGTTTCTTAGTCTGATTAAAAAAAAAAAAAAAAGAGCCTAAAAAAACTGATACTGACTTCTTACAGTACTTGATCACTCTGTCTTATAATAGTCTGAATTCCACTATTACCTTGTTTTTCATCACCTAATTCTCCACTGAGTATTTTACCAGCTTCTTTGGTCTTCTTTCTCCGGTCTTCTGAAATTCAGAAACCCTCTCCAATTACTTCCCTCATCTACAAAAGTAAGAGTGGAGGTATTGCACTTTAGGACCAGACACTGTTCCAAGAGCAGGATGGTAACTTCAGGGATCTCTAGGAACTTGGTCCCAACACATTTCACACAGGATGATTCCAAAGATACTGCAATATCCTATATTTTTTTCTAAAGACTTCTTCTAGTGACTTTCTTAAGTAACTTATTTTCCACTGCTTTCAATACCACCAGAGTCATCAAATGATCCTTAGGGCAGCAAAGACGGCTCACAGCAAGCTTACTACCCTTGACTTCAGAAAAGCAAATTTCAGCCTCTCCAGGGATCTGCTCTTGATCGAGAGTGTCTTGGGATAACATCCTGGAGGGTAGAGGGGCCCATGAAAGCTGGCTGATATTTAAGGATCACCTTCTCCAGGCCCAAGTGCATTGCATCCCAAGTGGAAACTCCAAGAGACTGGCATGGATGAGTAAGCAGCTCCTAGAAAAGCTCAAACTTAAGAAGGAAGCATACAGGGGGTGGAAGCTAGGGCAGGTATCCTCAGAGGATTACAGAGGTTGTCCGAGCAGCTAGGAATCAGGTTAGGAGAGCCAAATCCCTGCTAGAATTAAATCTTGCCAGGGACGTTAAGAACAGTAAGAAAAGCTTCTTTAGGTATGTTGGGAAGAAAAGGACATCCAAGGAGAGTGGTAGGCCCTCTCCTGAAGGGAACGGGTGAGGTAGCAACACAGGATATTGAAAAGGCTGAGGTCCTCAATGACTTCTTTGCTTCAGTCTTCTCTGGCAAGTGCTCCAACCACAACACAAGAGCCACAGAAGGTGAAAGCAGGGATTGGGAGAATGAATTACCCTCCACCATAGGTGTAGAGCAGGTTCGTGACCATCTAAAGAACCTGAAGGTGCATAAATCTATGGGATCTGATGGGATTCATCCATGGGTCCTGAGGGAGTTGGCAGATGAGATTTCTAAGCCTCTGTCCATCATACTTGAGAGGTCCTGGCAGTCTGGTGAGGTTCCTGCTGATTGGAAAAAAAGGGAACATAGTCCCTGTTTTTAAAAAGGGGAAAAAGGAAGACCCAGGGAAATACAGGCCAGTCAGTCTCACCTCTGTGCCTGGTAAGGTCATGGAGCAGATCCTCCTGGAAAGTCTGATAAGGCACATGGAAAATAAACAGGTGATTGGTGACAGCCAACATAGCTTCACTAAGCGCAAGTCCAATCTGGTGGCCTTCTACAAGGCTACAGAGATGGTGGATGGTGGCAGAGCAACTGATGTCATCTGCCTGGATTTGTGCAAGGTATTTTACACTGTCCACAAGAAAACCTGGTCTCCAAACTGACAAAGCATGGATTTGACAGATGGACCACTCGGTGGATAAAAAATTGGTTTGATGGCCACACCCAGAGAGTTGTGGTCAATGGCTCTATGTCCAAATGGAGGTAAGGGATGAGTGGTGTCCCTCAGGGGTCAATACTGGGACCAGTGCTGTTTAACATCTTTGCTGGAGACGTGGACAGTGAGATTGAGTGTATCCTCAGCAAATTTCCTGATGATACCAAGCTGTGTGGTGTGGTTGACACCCTAGAGGGAAGCTATGCCATCCAGAGGGACCTGAGAGGCCAGTGCCAACCTCATGAAGTCCAACAAGGCCAAGTGCAAGGTTCTGCACCTGGGTTGACACAACCCTAGGCACAAACACAGGTTGGAGGAAGAATGGCTGGAGAGCAGTCCTGAGGAGAAGGACTTGAGGATAGCAGTTGATGAGAACTTGATGAAGCTTGACATGAGCCACCAGTGTGTGCTGCAGCCCAGAGAGCAACTGCATCCTAGGCTGCAACAAAAGAAGTGTGGCCAGCAGGACCAAGGAGGTGATTTTGCCCCTCTACTCTGCTCCTGTGACACCCCACCTGGAATACTGTGTACAGTTTTGGTGCCCTCAGCACAAGAAAGATATAGACCTGTTGGAGAGGGTCCAGAGAAGGGCCACCGAGATGATGGAGCACCTCTGCTATGAATACAGGCTGAGAGAGTTGGGGCTGTTCAGCCTGGAGAACAGAAGGCTCTGGGGAGACCTTATAGCAGCCTTCCAGTTTTGAAGGGGCCTACAGGAAAGCTGGGGAGGGGCTTTTCATCAGAGAAGATAGTGATAGGACAAGGGGTAATGGTTTTAAACTGAGAGTGGGAATATTTAGGTTAGATATTAGGAAGAAATTCTTCACTGTAAGGGTGGTGAGGAACTGGAATGGGTTGCCCAGGGAGGTGGTTGATGCCATGTCCCTGGAGGATTTTTAAGACTAGGTTGAATGAGGTTTTGTGCACCCTGGCCTAGTGGTGGGGTTCCCTGCTAATGGCAGGGGGGTTGGAACTTGATGATCTTTAAGGTCCCTTCCAACCTTAATTGTTCTATGAAATGATTTCTCAGGTTTACTGCTACAGCCTTTAAAAGAACATGATGGTTTAAGGACCTTCCCATTTTCTTATGCTCAATATACAGAAAAAGAATAACCTAGTATAATGCACAAGAAAAGACTGCTACTATTAAGAATATTTAACTTATGTTTGCTCTGCTACCTTCCCTCTAATTTCCCCTATTGCTTAGGGCAGCCTTTTAGACTTACTCTGATACCTTACCTCTAATTTCTCCTCTTGCTTAGGGCAGCTCTGTGCAAAATATAACTCCCGGCACTGCACAAGTTCAGAAAGACAGTTACTTTCAGGAGTTCAGTAATCTCCACAAGCAAAGCTATGCAACTGCCACGACTAACATATTGAAGTGACTGCAATCAACTGTAACAGTAACTTGTGTAAATTAAGTGTGTCCTGTATCACATTTGTGTATACACAAGAGGAAAGTTAAACAGAAAAATACCAACCAAACAAGAAAACCCCAACAAAACCCAACCAACCAGAACTCCTACACCCACAAAAGCCTCCATACTACTTGCTTAGCCATGTAGCCTTTTTCTTCACAGATTTTATATTAACTCCAAACTGTTACAAGCTGGAATTCAGGATATGAATTACTGCCCTGTGGGGGCATGAAATCTTTGAGAAACATTTCAAAGGATGGCCTTGACTGCTTGATTGCATGTAAACAAATACTTACATTCTTCCCTGCTGTACTGAGGATGCCTTCTATGAACACTGGTAAGTGAATCACCTTCAGCTTTTTCAGGTTTCTGGACTTGGTTATGATTAGACCACAAAACACTGCTGCAACAGAAGGTAGCACCTGCTTCTTGTAACACGCCAAGTCTGAAGTCAGAGGATTCTCTTTGTTCCAAAAGAGTTTGTGAGCAGCTCGAGATGTCTCCAGATTTCCCACCTATCCATTTTGCTGAGTATCTAGGTACTGGGGAGTCAAACTGTGGGAGTAATTTTCTATCAGTCTGATGTCTGAAGTTAAAAAGCTGGTGTTGAGATGTTTTTGAGCTTTCAGAATCAGAGTCTAAATCCTTGTTTTGTGCATACTGTATGATCCAGTTAATTTTTTTGCTCAAGATATTTTTTACTTCTGCATATGGGCTTTTAGAAAGCTTTGATCGCGAACAGTCCTGATTTGCTATTAAATGGAATTTTTCAAAGCAGTCTCTGTGCCCCCTTAGAGATCTTGTATGTAGAAGATCTGACTTTGGCACTCCTGTAAAGACACAACAGAAAAAAGTTCACATACTGTATACTCAACTAGTTTTTCAAAATCTTTACTTACAAGCAACTAAGGAAACAAAAATGTAAATGATACTTTCCTATTAGCAGACTAATCACTGAAGTAAATAAGGATTTGTGATACTCTACATATGCTTGAAATTCCACTCAGTCTTGAGTCCTTAGCATATAAAGTGTTTTGTACACAGTAACCTGTAGCACAGGACTTTCAGATTACCTGCATATGCCTCTTGGATGATACCACAAATGAAGCAAACTGCTAACTGTACATATTACACCACGCCCACACACAACTGTACAAGCTGTAGAAATGATCCCATCTATGTATCAGAAAGTCCTACCAAACAACACTAAAGAGCATTTTGAAAGCAGTCATTCATGGTACCATTTTCTATTGCTAACATTACAAGCTATCTGCTCAACAAAAATTGCAGTGTGGAGGCTTATGTCATCCAAGTGGCCAAACAAGTTTATTGGTTTATTATTTTGCATTGTTAAAATGCAAATCTAGAGAAGCAGGTTCCAGTACTGATACTTGTCAACATTAAGCTGCCCAAGCACTTAATTTTGATTATCTCACTTGTTGGCAAATTACTGTTTCAAGTTGGGGAGTTGAAGTACTGAGAGTAGCATTATAAATGATTTTCCACTCTTTCGGCAGCATTAAAACTCAAAATTATTACTGTTTTCATTGAGTTTGTAAGAATGCACACAAAAATTATGAGACAAAATGGAAAAAAACAGACTGGAAAATAAAAGCACACCAGTGAAGTTAATTTTGTTCTTAGCAGCAGGGGAGAAATGTAAGGTCATGACAACAGACATTCCTTCTGCCAACTAACTGTTAAAACAAATAAACACATATTCTAAGCAGAGGCACCTTTTAACAAGGACAGATGTTGTCTTCGTGGGTAGAGTCAAGATTCTCACTCTCCACCTCAAAATATCTTTCACTCTCTTTCAGCAAAGAGACATCCACTAACTTTTCCTAAGCTCTACATTATTTACTGCCTACTTGCAAGGCTATTTTTCCCTCTCTATCTCTACAGAGACTTAAAAAATAAACAACAAAAAAACCACATTTCTAATGAAAACAAGACAAGCTGTTTTCATGACTTATCAGTACAAGTTGAAGTCTGCTTAACTCAAGTATCATGATAGAAACCCTTAAATCTTAAATCCATGAAAGAAGACCAAACACTGTCAATTGAAATTATAAGGCTTATATTCACAATACTGCAAACCCTACAAAGCCAGACTGATTTGTTCAGTGTTATTTGTTTTACACAAGATTCTTCAACATGCTATGTTGCTGATGCTTACAGGGCTTTCTTTTACTTACAGAAAGCATCATCAGGTTGGCTGAAAAGCATGTTTTACATATTTTTCTAAACAATGATGCTCAGGAACCTACCTAACAGTTTGACTATAAGATTAATGAATGAAATCATTGTCTTCTGATCACAGGAGAGTAATCCCATCTAAAGCAAACACTCGAAGATTTGCTGAAGAAGAAGGAAGAGAACTGCAGAAAGCACAGCCAATACATCTAGGGAAAATGCAGTTTTGTGTAATTTTTTATAGTTCACCTCTGCTGATAGGTACTCTTTTGCTCTAAGGATACCACTCTTCTCCCAACTAAAAATTCAAACATACCAACCAAGTTTTAACTTATCCTTATTCTTCCCCCAAACTAGAAAAAGAACTACTGCACTGTTTCTATTATAACCCAAAAAAACCCTGGATCTTTCAAGTTTAATTAAATATTCCCAGAGCTGATTCTAGAGCCATGGCCTCTTGCAGTTAGGTTCTCTGTCAGGCACATCTGAAGAAGTAGTTCAGACTACATTTCCTCAGGTATACACCCTGTTGCTGCAGGGGCAATCACAAAGAAACACCTGCATAACAAATGATAAAACACTGCAGTCTCACTTAAAATAAATCACACAGAATCACAGACTGATTTGGGTTGGAAGGGACCTTAAAGATCATCTTGTTCCAACTCTCCTGCATTGGCAGGGACACCTCCCACTAGACCTGGTTGCTTCAAGCCCCATCCAACTTGGCCTTGAACATTTCCAGGGATAAGGCATTCACAACTTTTCTGGGCAACCTGAGCCAGTGTCTCACTACTCTCACACTAAAGAATTTCTCCCTAATATCTAATCAAAATTTACCCTCTTGCAGTTTAAAACCATTACCCCTTGTCCAATCACTCCTTGCCCTTGCAAAAAGTCCCTCCCCAGCTCTCTTGTATCCCCTTCAGGCACTAGAATAATTCCTTTTAAACCTTCTGCTTCATTATTTCCATGAGAATAACATGTTGCTTGTCCAGTAAGACAAGGGTGTGAGACAACAAAACAAAACAACACACAATTTCAGTTACACAAAAAAAGGACAACTGCAGCATGACTCTATGAATCCCCATCTCATTTTTATGTCTAAGCTGTAAGCTCAAGGCTACTCAAGTCAGTCCTGACAAATTCAATCTCTTTTTTAAAAAAAAGTTCTGAACATTGTTCTGAACTTTCCCACTAAGGGGGCACGATAGTCAGAGAAATCTATTTTATCAGAACTCAGTAATATTGGGTATGCCTGAAATTAGCAACTACTACAGAAGACAGTTACTTAAAATGTTTAAGTTTTGCTATGTATATGCCATATATTGCCATAATGTCACGTATTACAAAACACTTCTAGTACTGAATAATCCTCCCTAGACCAGAATTTACATCCTTCCCTATCTACTACACTGAAAAAACTCAAAAAGGGTCTATCTAAATACTCCTCAATACAGTAAGGAACAGAAAATGTACAAAATCAAACCAATTTTGTACAGAATTGCTAACAGACTTGCTTCAGCTTTCACCTAACTGGTTCTTGGTTGGTCCTTCAATCAGCAATCACACAACCATTTAATTTTTCCCCCCTTATTTGTAGGTATCTTTACATTTGTCCCTTCTCTGACTTTCCAAGAATAGGATTGCTGATTACGTTCAATTATGTCCTACCCTTCATACTTATTTTTTCAGAGAAGGATAAAGAAATGCAAAAAAAGTGCAAAAAATCCTCAACTATCCAGACCAGGAAAGTTTTATTTCCAAGGAAAGAAAAAATATGCCAATATTCGATTACAACTAGAAGATCTAACTTAAGCAGCAGACACTATTAGGAAATAAACCCATGCCAGAGACCATTCCTCAAGGGAGCAAGATTCACAGGATGATGCCAGTCCTTGAGACAAATCATAAACCAATGTAACTTCATTAACTGGGGAACCCAGAATTGAATCACAGAATAATCCTGGTTGCAAAGGACCTTGAACATCATCAAGTCCAACCACAGCCTAAATCCACCAACCTTACTACCCATTATTTGCTTCTCATTCTAGCAACTCACGTGTCCTAGAAAAAATACGAATGGTGTCACTTTACTCAGCAGTATTTTTGTATGTTGAACACTCCTATAAGAATATGGCTGCTTATATAAAAGCCTAGCATTTAAGCAAAAAAAACCAAAAAACAAAACAACCCCCCCCCCCATATTTCAATTCGTAAGACATGCAAGGCACAAACTCTTCCTGTATACTGGTACAGTTCTCAATAAAATGAGTCCTAATCCACTCCTGCAAAATAATTTTGTAAATAAGTGACTAGCAATCAGGCAATTTATAAAGTGACATACAGCAGACAGCAGGGAGAATACTCACCATATGACCAGGTGTGTAATCACATCTCAGTAAATTCTAACCTATTTTGAAGCATGTGTGCTTGAAAGTATATCAGTTTCCATCATAATAAAGTTCTGGGTTGTTTTTTGTTTTCTTTTAAGGGAAGACGTCTACAAATACTTTATTTCTGCCTTTGCAACTGATTGAAAACTATGTGTAACTCTTCTTCATGATTACGATACAGAACTAACTTGAAATCTTTGCTCACATTTATATATAAAGCTGGCTAGAATAGTTGCCTTATTTAGAGATTATAATAATAATGAACAAGTTCAATTCAAAAGAAGTGCTCTTGAATATGAAGACTACTTCATATCCCATCACAAACAAATGTTTTCATTAAAAAAATAAATCAGTGATCATTAGCTTGCTTGTTTATTTTCTACAGTGCTTTTTATTATTATTTGTTCATTCTTTTATAGAAAAACTTCTTATTTGATCTTTCAGCTTCATCAGTTGAAAATAATGTTAAAGAAAGCCTGTACTCCCTTCTTAGCAATTTACAGTGCAATGCTGGAAACTAAGGGTTTTTGTAATTGTGAATAAACTTAGCTTGAGCAGCTGAGGGAAAAAACCTCAGAACATAGTAAGGAGTGAATTAAAATTAACAAGAATACTTCTGTACACATGCATAGTTAATTATAAGTTTGTACTATGAAAATTTTAATTATAGCCGTATTAAAGTCCTTTTAAAGAACTTGCAAATGCTTACGGGCAAGATTTATACCTGAGCATAATGAAAGGAAAAGCTGCCTTCTCAGTATAATGCTGCTGTCCACCATACTGACATTTTCAATAAATATGTAATGTACATGTGATTATTAAGGACAGTCAAAGGAGAGTGAATGCACTTCATAATACAGCATAGTACCTGCAAAATAGGTGAAATTCTATGTTTAAGCCAGCACACTTAGAAAAGGCCCACCTCTACTTTTAGCTAGCTGTAGCCAGTGAGGAAACTCTTCTTAGACACAATCCACCTCATCCTAAATAGTGACCTCTAGAAATATTCATAGTAAGCACCTATGCTTTTTCCTTTAATTCTATAAGCAAGAACCCTAGTTCTTGTGAACTAGGGTTCACAAGTGAAGGGAGTCAGTCCATGGCTGTATACTTTAAAGAGCTTTTACTACATGTTCTGAAATGTTCCCGCTGCTACTCCCCTCAGCTGTCCACCCCACCTAAAGCATCACTCTATAAACAGGGATGTTTAACCAGCCCGCAAAACAGCTCCTGAACAACTG